GTGGCCTTAGAATTGGTAAATGACTACTGAAGAAATCGAAAGAGTGGTACTAGCAATAACCCCGTTATGAGCCGTAATCACACAAGGAATCGAAGAAAAGGCATATATAATCACATGAACCAACAAACAAAGTTATCAAATTCACTGAATCTGAAAAATCCCATTGCAGACACCATCAGCAAAAACTCATTAAGCCAAAGCAATTCCCAAGGATCACGGAGAAAACAAAATCCTCTCTTGATTCATAATTAAAGTAAGAGACACCCAACAAAAAGTTCCTCGTCCAGAAATTACGTCTTCAAGAAAATTCCATATCAAAACAACCAAAAAGAAAATGATCCAAGAATCACTAACAAGGATCAAACCAACGTGCAGCAAAAGCAAGAATACACATAAGAAAGAATCTTGGACAGGTTTAACATGCCAGGTCTGTGAACTAATTTCATTAGTGCATAATTTAAAAGATTTCAGTTTTCTGTGTTCAATCATTTCTGAGGAATTGCGCAGGAACAGTGAACTGAGTGAAGAAAGAAAGAACAAAAGAAGAGATTCTAGGTAATACCTGATTAGAGAATGGCGCAGACGAGGAGTGGGGGACAATCTCTCATAACTATTGAGACAAGCGAGAGTGAAAAAGACCCTTCCAAGAAGTCTGAAAAAAAAAAAAGCGAAAGAACTTTTGTGTATTGGGAACAGCTTTTCCCCTTTTTTTTCTTGTTTTCGAGTCTTTTTCAGATCCGATCGAAACAAGAGAGACTTTTGTGAAAGCAATCTACCACTGGTAGTCCACTGCCAGTATAATAAATTCAAGGGTATTCTTGGGTTAAATTTCGTCGTTTAATGCGGGGGAGGTGATAAACTGTTTTTTTTTTTTTCTTTTTTAGTTTCAGTACTGGAATCGGAACATGGGAATTGGGAACGTTAAACGTGAGAAGAAATAAAAAAGAAGAAGAAGAAGAAGGTCCCTTAAACTAAGGCCACAAAGCAAAAGCCTAAAAGGCAGCAAAGCATAGAAAAAGCAGGCACAATACAGTACAACGATCAATTTTCTGATACAAAGGCCGTCCCTTTTTCTGTGGATGTTTCCCAATCAACAATTAACAAGGCTTCCATACCCAACTTTCTTGCTTTTTTAGTACAGTTTTTATTTTCTTAGTATTAGTTTATACTTTATACTTACATTTTAAAACATTTCTTGTTCCTTGAATTGAACCCAAAAAGTAAAATACAAAAAAGGGTACACAGACTCCGAGTCTCTAACCAATTATTAGTTTATATGATTATTTATCTTTTGGTTGGATTAGTGAAAATGTTGACCTGAATATTAAAAGTGTCAGGCTTCTTTCCCACTTTAGTTGTATTATTAAAAGAAAATTATTTAGTACATCATTAGCTCACCAACACCAGATAATTTCACAACAATGTGCACATGAATAGAATGTTTGTTTTTCTAAGTGTTTTTCTTCTTCTTTTTTTTTTCCTTTTGCAAGCAAGGGGCTTCTTTACAATAACCTATTTCTCGCATTATAAATGTTTGTTGTGGATATCTCTATACTTAGTTTCCCTTTTTTTAAGTGAAACGTTTTGAATTAAAAATCATTAATTTATCATTTCTCTCGTTTTACTATCCAATCTAATGTAGTTCTTTTCCACTTTAACGAGGGTGACACAATTTACATTTTCTTAACTTCTCGTGGACACCTGTGAATACGTAAATTGCCTACAATATGTTTCTTCCATTTGGCCTTATATATATAAGGTTCCAAAACTTCTAAGTGAAGAAAGAAAGTGTGTGAGTCTTACACTCTATCAATACGTAAAATTTTTTTTTAAAAAAAAAAGGTGCGGATTTTGGGGCAGGGGCTGAATATATTTTAATTTGGCGTTTATTCCACCGAGTAAATGCCGGAGTGCTGTAGCACCGGAAAGCCAAATTAATACGCTTAGCGTCTTGCCCTTTAACGCACATACTCTAGTGGAGAGCTCGCGTCGTGATATGCCTTTAATAGTTTAACTTAGGCTTAAATACATAGTGACCCCTTTAATTAGGTCTGATTTCAATTCAACCCTCGTGTTCCCGAATCATACAAAATATCCCCTAAAATGTGATGCCTATTTGTTTTTAATGACAAAAGCCGTGATTAATGTGTTTGGATAGAAGATTGTTTGAAACAATTACTGTACCACTTCTGGTGCTATAACATATGTGAGATAAAAAGATAATTAGGAATTTGTGTTTTGGAAGTAAGCAAAATTTTGACCGCTATCTGAGGACAAATCTTCTTGACTATATGTAAGTAACAAGAAAATAGCTTCCTATTCCTTCTTTCTAGATCCAAAAACAACTCCTCAAAAATTTTAACCGTTGCTCCATATATACTCTTTAACAAAAATAAAGTATACCCAATACATTTCAGAGAAATATCTCTCAAGAAAAATCTATTCAACTGGTCCCAGAATTAAGAGAATTGGAAAACCGTGTATGTGACTTGCTAGAAAGAGAAGAGATGGAGAACTGCAACCAATGCAGTTAGGGGTGTGCAAAATCAAAAAATTCCAATTTATCGACCGAATTCGAATTCGAATTGAATTCGGAATTTCGAATTCGGTAATTTGGAATGGAAATCGGATATTCTGATTTCGAATTGGTCGAATTCGGTAATGAGATTTTTCAAATCGGAATTTTTTATTTCGAATTCACAATTTGAAATTGAAATCGAAATCGGAATTCAGAATTCCTATTTCGATTTCAAATCTGTTTTTCATATATATATATATAATATAACATTTATATTATAATAATAATTTTTATATTCATGAATTCGGTAAAATCGGAATTCTTATTTCGATTTCAATTTTGTTTTCACACATATATATAATATTTATATATATATATATGTAATATAATATTTATATAATAATAATAATAATTTTTATATTCATGAATTTGGTGAAATCGAAATTTACCGAATTCCGAACGAATTCGAATTTGGAATTGGTGAATTCGAAATCGCTTCGGGTTTGTTTGGATAGTGACTCTATCCCAAATAATATTTTGCTTGCATCATAAACACAATTTCCAACCCATCTTTTTATATTCCCAACCACCTTTTTATCTCACATACATCATATCACAAAAAGTGCTACAGTAATTATTCCAAATAATATTTCAAATAGTACTCTATCCAATCGGTCGAAAATTCTGATAACAAAATTCCGAAAAATTCCGATTTCAAAGTTTTGAATTACCGATTTCGATTCACACCCCTAAATGCAGTCAAATAGAGACTCGCATAAAAAGTAGAAACAATAAAGAAATAGTGCATCAGCAGGAGACAATAGCTTGGATTGTTGAAGATTCCAGTGGAAATTTGATGCATTGGCATGTTCCTGTTTATATTCTATTAGGTACCTTCAGTCTAAATCCTTGTTGTCATTGGGCGAACTGATTCCCTATTGTTGCTTCGCTGCCTGGCTGATCCGAACAAGTCTCCTCAACCAGTTCCTTCTATAATAGTAGTAAATGATATCCTTATCCTTTTATTTGTGTAGTTTATTTTATGCAATTCAGTTAGTTAAGGTTAGTAGAACCATAATTATAGGTTAATCTTGCCTTTTTTATTCTCCAAAAGTTTCTAATTTCAATCATTTCGGAAAATAATTATTTATCTTCTATAATGCAAAGTAAAAACAGACCACAACAGCCTTTTAAAGAGGGGAAGAAAAAAAAAGGGACCACGATGTTAAAGGATTATATAATTTTTTATAGTGAAAGGTTTGGAAAGTCTAAAAAAATTCCTAAGGAAAATTTAAAAAAAGGAGGACTCGTACTGGTGTTTTCTTTTATGTTTTAGGAAATTTATAATGTCAAGATTTGCATTTTAAATGTTCTAAGCGACAACAACGTAATAAATATTAATTTGGGAAGGCTTCGGAGTTTGTAGTCTAGTCAGTCTCCCTCTCCCATAAGCAATGCATACATACGTGGAGTTTCTTCTGCTTTCTTCTCTCCCTTTCCTTAAATTTATTGTTGTTTGCTTCTTTCCTTGCTTCCAAGTTTCTTCTGTTTTCGCTGTCTTTCCTTATATTTCTTGTTTGTTTCTTAAACGTTTTGCCTTAGAGGTAGCTGATAAGTCAAGGAATTGACCGGTGGAATCAAAATCATGCTTCGCTATTCTCAATTTAAACAGCACAGGAAAAAGGGAAAGTGAAGAGTTTGATCGTATAACAAGGAAAAAAAAAAAAAACCTCGTAATTCTACTTGGCCAATAAATCCTGCGTTAAGTACCTATTTGCTCCCCCAGCGACATCCAAATTTATGATAGAATTTGGCTTTACTATTGCCCCGCGATTAGTGTTAGGAATAAAGCTTATCCTGCATGCACAAAATCATCACCATTTCTTTTCTTTCTTTCTTTTTTCGCAACATAATCTAATCTAAGGGGAAGAAGAGTCGACAGAATTTTTTGTCGAAAAAAACCACAATTAAGTAGTAAAGTGGGAGGCAAGGTTCACCCCATCCAAATTTAAATGTCTGGGTGTTACCAAGAGCCTAGGCTGTTGGCACAAAATCATCACAGTCTCCTTGTCAAGAATATAACACTACTAGACTAGATCAGAACGTGCTCATATAAAATAAACATGAAATTTTTACGGCATGTTATAAAACTAAGCTGGCATTTTCTCTTTAACAGCTAAGTTGCATATTGTAAAAGGTCTATACAATGATGCCAAATTACGAGGATTCATAAGAACCAAAAAATAAGGACACACCCACATGAGATGAGATTTTTTTTTTAAGCAAAGCAGGCCGAATTTTGTTAGATTAGATACGTCTGCGGAAATAGCGAAGTACCACATGGCCCCACGTGAACTAGAAACCATGGCATGTGGTGGACCAGCTCAACTGTCACATTTGGTCCATTCCATCAAAATGAACCACACAACCCCCAAAGAAAAAGGAGGGAAAAAAAAAACATTAATGCTAACACAAGCCAAAGTAAGTACGATTTAGGGTTGCTGAGTACTGGGACTCTAAATTAATCATTCCCCATCATCATACAAATCTACTATATAGGTCAATGTGCTAAGGCTACTGTTATAACTCTCTACTGTTATAGCCTGAAGAGGACTAAGGGAAAACCAGTGAAAACTGAACCACCACCGATTCAAACAGATACATGAAACCACTTAAAGTGACAGGCCACATATAACAACAAATAGTGAAAGACAAGATTTGAACACTTGACCTCCCATCCCACCAAAGTCCTACTGTTCATAATTCTCTACTTACTTTGGAGTAAATGTTGTGCTAAATAGGAATAGATTATTATGATTTTTCCATTAAGTTTTCCAAATACAAGTTCAAAATGTATCTTCCCGTGGACAGTACATCGAGCCTCTTCTCACTAGGCTCATACTTCCCCTTTCGGAGTTGGTATCGATGAGTTACAGCTGATACCGTATAAGCCCGGCCTTCAATTGTCACGCTCTCCCCGCACTGCACATTCTGCCAAAAAAACAATAAACAACAACCACCACCAATTACAGAAGAACGCTAAAGTGCAAAGACCGGTTCCTTTCGTTAGCGTAACATCTAACATGAACATGCCATTGAATCGGTGAGGTTGTTTACTCAAATAATTCCTGTCATCCTGTGTGGAATCAATTAGTACTACTCGCACCAAAAACTAGCAAGAGGAAAAGAATGCAACAAGGAAATGCAGCGGCGCCGGAATGTCTCCGTCTTTTAGATCTTGTTAGCGCTAAACATGCTAGCTAGTTTAAAATTCACCAAGACAACTCAAGACGCCCAGTTGGCTTAACAAACCATCTCTACTTGCTTTCCAGTCAGGAAGACGCGTGCATAATCACTTTATACATGGCAGGAATTACCAAATATTAGGAGCTTTATGATTTCCAGGAATACTCGAGTCTATGGTACATCCCGTGAATCATGCATATTGACCACCATCTCACAGGATCAGCAATCAATTTTGGTTGTCGTCTCACCGGTGATGTTTGAAAATAACAGTCCTTTTAAAATTTACTTCAAACGGAAGAATTGCATCCTTAGCTCAGACATTAGGAAAAATAAAACCTGGCAAATAGTACACAATACACTCTCTACTGAAAGGATCTACAGGGTCCGTCAACAAGTTTAAGGGAAAAAGAATCAAAAGAAGATAATAGAAACTTTTCTGCGGTTTTGACTCCACAATGTTTCTCTGTTGTTGCACCAGAAAAGGTTTCAACAGAAAAATATAGTAACAACTTGAAACAGTAAACATGCAATAATATGTCCTTGCTCGTTCTAGCAATTGGAGATAAAAATGAAGAAAAAAGATGGTGAAGGCGGGCATTAAGGTGATACTCAAAATTAATTAGTGAGGTTGTCAAATGCAAGTGGTGGGTTTTGCTTATACTCTATTACCTTAAGAAAGATAGCGATCCTGAAGAAAACTCGAGTAGGGCTTGTACAAAATACCCGCAGTTGATGAAATCACCTTTACCAATAATGTTCACATAATTGTGCGGGAAATTATGAATTATTATGAGATATATGCATCAACAAAACTAAAATGAGCATCTCGATTCTCTTCAAGATGCCGGGAAGCAAGTTAACAAAGGAGCTATTTAATCAGTGCAAGCCTACCTGTTAGTCGTAACTCGTAACTAATAGAGAGGAGAAAAAGTGAAAATCCAGCTTACACAGGGAAAGCAGCGGATGCCGAGGTTCTTGGCGGCGGAGTAATTTCGATGACTTTGTAAGGGTAGTGCTGGTTTTGACCTCTGTCTCTCTCTTTCTTTCTGCAACTAACTTTGAACTTTCCGGACATCTCAATCTGCGGTGACCATTTTAATTTGCGACAAATTTTTCTCAAAATTGAAACAAAAAAAGCAAATTCCTATAGGAATGAATAAAGCTTGTAACCTTCCGAAATGCAGTGACGTTAGACACCACCGTTGCCATCTTTATTTATCCTTCTCCGCTACTGCTGATCTTTTTTCTGTTTTGCTATTTCGGCGTGTATGAGAAGAAAATTTGATGCTCTGCGCGAGGGGGAAGTTGGCTTCTGGATCTTTTGTTTCCCGGACCTTCGCCAAACGCTGGCAAGTTTAGCAACCCGTAGTACATTTGTCCAGACTCTTTAATCCACGTGGAAGTGAATAGTCCTGACTTCTTCTCAACAATGGCTGATATATGATAACTTCGTGTGGCTCTGATCACTTTCGTTGTCCTTGCTATAAATATCTCTTTCTAACTCTCACTTCGATTTTAACTGAATGGTAAGGTGTCCTAAGACGCAGCTCGACTCATTCCCTTTCCACTCATAAAACGATATACACTTTCAACATATTGTTCAGAGAAAACAAAGGCCCAACACACACTGCACCAAACCATAGCTGAAACATAGGGGAATATCCATGTTAGAGCGGAAATCAAAATTCTCCAGGAGCATGCCTTCGAGGGGGAAGTTTCAAATGGTACACACTCTTGAGGCTCCAGATGAAAGCCACTAACATCTAAATAATGCGTAATTGATGACATGATCTGATATATTACACATGGGGAAAAGTTTGCAAAAAGGAAACAGCTCCAAGCTACAAGGTGTTCTGGGGATTGACCCTTCTCCTAAAATCTTGCCTGTAGTAAGGAGTTTCATCTATTGTTCTCCTAACGTACTCGATGAAAGGCTGAGGCGTCCGAGGAGATTGTTCATCCCGAAGAAGAGGACTACTGCGAATAGGAGTGGCAGGTGCAGCTGCTGCCACACGAGCACCTCCAACACGAGCAAAACCTGATTCTACGCCACCTGGTTTGCGTATGCAGTACAGCAAAGTTCCAAAGATTACCAAAAATAGTAAAAACACCGTGACCACAACCATGATGGCACCGAAGTTTCTTACTGCACCATTGGTTCTCTCAGCTTCGTAGCTGACGTCCACCTCTTTCCTCTGACCTGTTGCTTGGAGGGTAATGATTAGTTTATCTTTAAAACTCTCATCTTTGAGACTTTTGACCTCGTAGAGAGCATGCCCTCCTTTTCTGGAATCATCCCCAGAGATGAGTCTGACAGACAGCCTATCTCGATCATGCCAGTTGATGATAACATCTGTATTACCCACAATGGTTATGAAACTTCTGTTATAGCCTGAAGTCAGATTTAGCTTTAGAGAATTTTCATCCATTTCCAACACAGAAAATCCTCCCACAAAGAATACAGATGCAGATCCTGATATGCTCTCGTCTTCCAGCAATGAAGCATTAATGGAAATGGATAAACCTCGTCTCATGTCCGCAGAACTGGGAGCAGTGCGTACCAATTGTTCCGGAAAGTAAGGAAAGAAGATGCAGTACAACTTATTAGTGACAGGATCAGTCCAAGTCCTTGCGAATCCAACAAACTGTGGATCCACCACACAATCAACTAATGTCTTGCCATTTCCAATAGTTTCATACTTGCGGTTATAAGCATCATTTAGTTTAATGAGAAAGAAATATCCTTTAACTGGAAAAGGAGATGCATTAGTGAGCATCAACGTGGGAGCATCAACAGTAACCTCTCCCCCTTTTAGAACGGTAACCACTGTATGCAGTTTCAAATCTGAATTTTCATAATGAACTTGAGTAGAACCTTCGTTTCTGGCTTTGGCTTTTCCAGATAACTTGTCAATGTCCAGAATGCTTTCATTGGCACTAAACCAGTAGCCAAATGCTTGATCAGTCAGGCCATTTACACTGAAGTTAAGATGGCTTCCTAAGGGAAGGACTGGATTTAGAGGATACATATGAGCACCCACAAAAATCATCACATAGTCCGACTTCTGTGGGTTATTGATGAATGCTACCCGGACAAGAGCTTTACCAGGGCTTTTTGCGCTGAGGTGGACTTTCCCCTGACCATCAGAGGAGTCTTCAATGGTGACAACATCAGGATAATTAGTTTCAGCTTCAAAGACAGCAACATTATAAGCTTCATGAAAAGGGTTACCTAGAACATCATAGTATCTGATTGGCAGATCAAGTTCAGCACCTACAGCAAGTCTAAGAACCAGAACTTCCTGCGTTACAATTTTCACTTGAGCCACCTCTGCAACTCTTACACAAGAAGCAATCTCAGTTCTTCCGGTTGACCTATCATTTGCCTGAATACATGCAAGACTTTCAGCTTCTTTTGTCTTAATTTTACCCCCATCAATGAACATGTCTTCATCTTCGACCTCTGCTGTCTCTCCTCCACATTTTCCCAGTAAAGAGTAAATGATTGTGCTTTTACAACACAATGCCCCTTTGCCACAAGGATTTGAAGATAAAGGCAATAGATCTGATGACGTATAATGAGAAGGGAGGAGCCAGGTTATTGGTGATCCCAAAGCAAGGGGAAGATCAGGTACTACCCAAAGAGATATATTTGCACTGTATGACCTAGATTCTGAAAATGAACCAGAAGACGTAAAACTGCAAGAGAATGTGACAGCAACTCCTGTCTTGCCAGGAGATAGTCCTTCCAGCACTTGAAGAAAACCAAGGTCTTCCTTGTCCAAGTACTCGGTATATCTAGATTTATTTGCATCAGGAAAGGGAATACCATCTTTTACACCTTGCATGCGATCTGGCACTCTGAAAGTCAAAATATCTTTATCTTCAATATTCCACTTGTAATTATTGCAAAGCTCATAAAAGGAAAATAAATTCCCCTCGGACAGAGAAGGAAATATTTGCATCTTCTGGCCAACAGCAAGTTGCTCACTTTGAACATTCAAAATGGCTGCAGAAGGAACACCAACTCTAACTTTTCCATATGCCTGACAAATCGAGATATCTCCCTTTTCATAAAACGTGGCAACTAAGGTAGTATTTCCGGGTGAAATTGCTGAAATTCGTCCCAAGGACTTCTGAAATCTGGCTGTTTCATCATCCATACTAGCATACTTGACAAAGGCACCAAATCTTGGGCCTCCTCTTACCTTGAGGACATAAGAAGCGCCAGGTACAAGGAAAATTTCACTAGGATGTATCCTAGGAGGAGCATAGACTTCAACTCTAATTGATTGACTTAATACTTCATGTCCAGAATGCTGTCTAGCACTAAGATATAGGGTTGTGACCCCACAGTGTGTGCCCTGTATAGTGAAATTGGGTGCTCTAACAGATCTGTGAGTTGGACTTTGAAGTTCACCATCATCCACAAGCTCAAAAATATGATGCTCAAAGTGAACATGAATATCCATATACAAGTACTGAGAACTGTCAAAAGTATGCCCTGCATCAGTTCCAGCCAAGAAGCTTATAGATAGCAAATTTCCTTCCATAAGGCTTATCTCTTCCCCTGATGTGATCTTAATCCAGTCTATGTCAGCAACTTGGACCACAGAAGAAGCAGCAAGTGGAGGAGCAAGCCCAATATCATAAACTGTCACCAGAGCAGTTCCCAACCTTTTGGGGGCCAGCATCAGTTGCAAACACCGCAAATCCACTGGTAATTGAATAACTTCCAGAATATGACTATTATTAACCAAAGTCTCCAGAAAACAGCTCCCACCAGCAATTGAGAGATTCAGCCGGGCATCGTGACTAAAAAACAACAAACTGAAGACTGGATTCACTCTTAGAGAAGAAACAATCTGCAAACGTGCAGCATCTGTGAGAGCATCTTCTGGACTATCAAAAGGAGTAATAGAGTTTTGATTTAAAGAATCAATGAACCCTAAAACAGTTGCACGCACAGTACACAATCCTGATGAGTTTTGCAAGACCAAAAACCTCTCCCAAATGGACTTGGTTATTGCTAAATTGTATGCATCATCCCAGAAAGCCAGCCCATCGCAGTTAATAAGCTCCCAATTCAACTGGAGAGAAGACGAGTTTCCAAAAGCTTTCCCAGTATCACTGATACTCACGGCTGATAGTCGAACTGTCCGTCCATTTGCAACAGTAATCGGGGTGGCCCGAATTCTTCCATGAATGCGGTCTGCCTTAGTTGCAGACTCAATGACTTCAGGTAAATTTACAGCTTCATCAGCAATTAGTACAATAGAAGATGGGAAGGAACACACAAGCTGCAACTGTGCTTCAGATACAGCAGGCAGGGGATGGTTGTCACCAATTAAATTTCCACGCCTGAAAACAAGCTTGAAGGATCCCAACTTTTCACACTTAATTCTGTACTGGCTAACATGGTCAGCATGTACTTGGTGAACTAGGCCTCCATCTTTAAGATAAGAATTCTTGTCATCTAAAGTTTCCACAGTTTCAATAAATTCAACCCCTTGATCCCACCTCTCTGGTCCTTCATGAAGCTTTAAATCAAAGTGTGTTCCAGGGGCAAGAAATAGTGAATCCAAATGGTTATGGGCTTCAGCTTCAGCCAAGTTGAACCAGTAACCACCAAACTGGTTTCCATCACTTGCCTGATGTACCAGGAGTGATTTATATGCTGCAATATGCAACGAGGCCTTTAAAGCAATAAATCCACTGACAGAATGATCAAGCTGTTGATGCTCTTTAGTTAGTGTTGCATGTAGCGTTGTCCGACCAGAACTAGAAGCATATACGTCAGCCCATGCACAAGGGGGCCCAACTGTCAAAGTCTGGAGCTCAAGCATTTCGTGCTTGCCAAAAGTAAGTGACTCATCAGTTGCATTGATAATTGTGAAAGACTCACTCTCGGTTTTCCACTTAATGGAGGAGCTAAAAGCATCACATCTAGCAAAGTAGGCTCCATCTGGCATTTTCAACGTGACAGAAGCCTGAAGATGCGATCCAACGACAACTTCCACAGGAAAATTCTGCCGCATAACCATTGAAGAAGGAATTAAAACTTCAATAACCATCTCATCATAATTGAATGAGTCATAAATGGACACCGCTCTGATGGTAGCTTTACCGGGATTTCTTGACTGAACTATGCCAGATGCAGATACAGACACGATAGCCATGTCTGAGGAAAACCACTTATAGTCACTGGATGCCATTGCACAACCTCCATTCACCTTTAGCTCCAATTCTTGACTTATCCCAGGGGCCCATGGAAGGAGAATTCTGTGATGGTCAATGCTGCCTTGGCTCATGCTGAACTTCACTTGGTCGGCATACGCATGATTTCCTGCACAACTTTAATGACCTCCTTTCTCTCATCATTTCTGCTGCTATATCTCAAAACTGCCATCAGTTTGCCAAGACCATAAGAAATTGCATTGAGTATTCTGGTATTGCCTTTTACCATAACACTATCTGGCACAGGGAGAACATTCCAGAACTTGGACTGGTCACCATACAATTCTACATCATCACTTTCAGTTAGATAAATTTCTTCCCCAGCTGGACTCTGTGAAAAAACTTTCACATAAATCAAATACTGCCTGCCAGAGACAACATACCAGCGAGCCATAGATGGAATAGATCTCATTCCCTCGACAGGGCTACCAGAAGGGGAAAGTGGCAATATGTGCAACAGTAAAGCGTCCGGCAAGACAACATGGAGGGATGACGTTTGTGTATGACCAGCAACTCTAGTGTCTTCAACAATGACTGTTGTCACCCCCAAATCGAGTGCATGAGCTTCACCTGTCATTCTGTCTACCTGAGCCACTGAAGTGTTCAAAACAGACCACTGATGCCATGGAGATGGTAAAGATACCACTTGAGGAATATTGCCTCGAATAACATTGAGGCTATATTTAACAACAGCACCAATAAGAACATATAGAGGTGATGGAGGATCAAGAGCCATTGCTTCTGCTACAGTCAAGATAATCTTATCTTGTATGTGCTCAAATGATGGTTCAACAAGATGAACAGAAACAATTTCATGGCCAATTTCAATGCCTTTCACAACATACAAGTCAGAAAACACACCACCATCTTCAAGCTTAACTTGAATGTCCAGGTCACCACACAATCCTCCACAGTCACTTTGTGGAGATTCCTTGAGAGGAACATGAACAATGTGATGTGGCAAGTCATCAGTTTCAGGCATCAGTTGCCACATGAACTGTAACCCCACTAACGAGGAAAAGACATTTTCTGCAACGTAGACAGCAAATGAACAAAATTTTTAAACTATCTTATGAAAAGATTTACATACTTCTAAAAAATTTACTTGAAACAAAAAGGAAATAGTAAAAAAGAATTTCAAATTCCAGAGATTATCATTTTAACTCTTAAAAATTAAATGCATGACAAAATCTGCTGCCTGGCAAAAGTGTACATCAATTACGTCATTATCATAATCCAAAGGAAAAATACAACAGACTTTTGGCATAAATAAAGCAATTTATCATAAATTTTTCTTTTGTTTCTTTACTCCTTCATCATAGTAATTAAACACACAGGAACAGGAAAGTGAATGTTCCCTTTTGGGGGCTTAAGCAAAAAGTTATATTCATTTATAGTCTACAGTTAAAAAAGAGTAACTTATGTAAAGAAAAGAAGCATTATCTATTACAGGTTCTACTATACATGCATTAAGGATTACGAGTACAAACTAAAGCACCATAAGATATACATACAAAAAATAGCAAACTGATAGTTAAGTTTCAAGGTCAAGAATTTACAAACTTCTACAATGTATAGGCTATTAAGATCCTAATCATCTTCATCAATCAAGTTTAGAGACTAGGATGGTTTACTCTAGTTACAATCCATAACATATTAGCTTCTTACCTACAAACTAATCAGGCTACACAATAATCAATTAAGCTAAGGCAACAGAAGATCCAAAGGATTTTAGTGAATGCAAAGCCAAAAAAAGGAAAAATGTTCAATTTGCATGCTTTCTCTTGACTTCAGCACTTTATTGAGCTTCAATTACTTCTTCTTGTGCTAAAAAATGGTTGCTCAGTTCAGAAGATTGAAAGCACTAGGCTTACACTTTGCTTCAGCTTGTGCTTAAGTGAGCATTTCATGCGGTTTTTACTAATATTCTGCAGTGCCCTTACTGTTTCCTTGGTTTCATTTTAAATTGTCCTATATTGTCCACAATCAAAAGTCAAAAGACAATATGTGACCAAGTTCTACAAAATACCCTTTATCACTAAAGATGTAATACATATAGAAATGTCAAGAACACCAAGTTCAACAGTCAAAGTCGAAGATAATTTATCATCAAGCTCATAAACCGGAAAGACATAAAACATTATAAAATTGAAAGTTTTCTGAGCCTCTGAGGTTAACAATGGACTGTTTTGACATAAATCAAAGAGCAGATACACTAAATGCATGACTCTGAAACTATGTGCTTGATCAAATATAACACATAAAATGAGAAAATGGAGTAAACTTGTTTCCTTCTTTCATTTTTCCTGTTGTAACAGTAAAATACGATCCTTGTCATTCTCCCAAGATACACAATGCTCCTCATAACTTCTTCCCTCTGACTCTTTACATGGCATGATACGAAAATAACATCTTGCATACTGATTACAACATACCACAAGAAACAGCCTTTTCTACTAAGCCGATTGTTACTGTCAACAATCACATATGGTAAAGAAAGCAGTTCAGGGAAAAAATATACTGTTGTCATAAACTTATGATAAACAGAAGGAAACCTAAAACAGTAGTATTATGAGAAAGTGCTTAAAGCAATTAAGTTCATGATGGGTGTTTAACAATCACCTTCGCTATCAAATGCCCGGACTCGAAGCGTAGCAAGTCCATCAAGGTCAAGTTTGATGGAATTATGGAATATCTGGATTCTGGAGAAGATATCAATGTAAACCTTGCAACGAATCACCATGCCAGTATTGAGGTCAGTTGCATAAACAGCAGTTTCCTTTCGACCAGTATAAGGAGCAATTGATTTCAAGCGGGCACTTGTAGAGCAACGGTTGGTGGAATTGTACTCAGGCAAAACAGCTAAAATATCACGATGATCGCATGACCTGCCCAAAACAGATTCAAGAAGACTATCTCTCAAAAAGATAGGATAGAAAGGATAAAATAGCATAGGAAGAAAACCTTTTATAGAGAATTAAACAGTTTAATGGAAATTAGGCATTGGATAATCAAATAATAGTTTGCCATTTTAAGGAAGTATATGGAGTTTCATTTTCATCGTCAAATTAATACAAATTCCATCTCAATCTGCTGAAACTTGAACATGCTTCTAGCAAATACTCATTCTCGGAAGTTAATGCTTCATGCTACTTCTTTGGCAACTAATGCCAATGTGTGTAGTAACAACTGAATTTCACAGAAAGCTTTAAACGACCAACAATATCCATCTCCCACAAAGAACTCGTTCATAATCAAGAAAAATGCAACAAAAATTACGGGTAAAACATGTAGGGAATCGATAATGTCGTCTTACAATAAATAACATGGAAAGTAACACCCAGAACTGCAAATCAACAAACATTCAGCTAGCCGGAAAATCCAAAACCTACAATAATCCTATATTAAAATCGGCAAAACTCATCATTTCCCCAAATTACTGTAATTTTTCATCGAAGAAGTTACCAGCAAAGCTTGTAGGAAGTAGACTAAAGTTCCCACTTATTTCACTAGACAATATGTACATGACAAGGCGAAGAAGAATAGGAAAAGTAGAAGGAGAGAGACGTTGAAAAAGTACCATTTGAAGCAGCCATCAGTTCCTTGAAGCCTGTACTCAACAGGATGAGTCATTTTGGGAGGCAACAGAATGTTGACGTCGGCTAGGTGAGGACCAGACGTCACCGACGATGAGGCCACCGCATCGGACACCAAAAGCGCCGGAAAAAGAATGCAGAACCAAAGCGTGGCTAAGCGTAGTAACATTTTGAATGGAAACGGAGGTATGAATTATCATCAGCTAAGAAGCGGCTCCCGCCTTCTGCCTTCCGGCTTCCGGAGGATAGCGCAGCTAAAACAGAGAGTCCGACCGGAGCGCCGGATAGCAAGACAGCGGGGTCTTAGTAGTAGACTAGAGGGCCTATCCAAATCAACCAGAAGTCTCCATTCCCACTAGGGTTTAAGTGAGGTTTTCACCTGAGCCCGGTACTCCGGGGACACGCGTAGTCAGTTGGTTGGACGGCAACTGGAGTGCTCGGGCAACCCCGCGAAAAGAAAGATTTATTTTGGCAAAAGGGCTCCAAAGGAATACTACAAAATTATGGCTTGGGAGCGAAAAGATTTAATTACCCCTTTAAGTACCCAAAAAGAAAAGTTTATTTTTCCTCTTTCAATATGTTTGATCCATTAAGCTGGTGGCCACCACCAAGCCCAAGCTGGTGGCCACCACAAAAAATGCCACTCTTGTGGCTCTGCTTCAAATCCAAACGGATGCACTCGCACCTGTCTGGTCCGGTGATGGTTCTGTCCCCATCGGTCCCCATAGGCTCAGTTGAGTCTCCCTCGTAGATAGAGTAGGAGTAGGAGTAGAGATGACAATCGAAAAAATATATATATATATGTTTGATCCATTGAAATATTACAATGATGTTTTACCTTCTTTTTTCACCTACAAGGAAAATCGAGATATTCTTACTTCCAATTTTAAAATTTCCACGTTATTGATTGAAAAAATAAATAAATAAAAGATAAAGAATTACGCTAGCAAGAAATTTTATACGTAAACTATGTAAATGGCTTTTTATTGAGTTTCATCGATGCAAACACCTTTTTTTTTTTTTTGGGGTGTACCACTTTTCCATTGGTATTCTCATTGTTAACTGAATGGCCAACGAAACGAAAGCTTGAGAAAAAAAACATTTACCCATTGTAATATTTCCTTTTACCCCAAATAATTTATCCATAGCCCGGCGTCACTGGTGATGGGAAATAATCTGGTCAAGTTTTAGGCTCAAAATTACTATTATTGCTCCATTTGACAAGTGAGTTTTTTGGGTATTTGTCTAAAATTTTCCTGTAACTTACTGTAAAAGTTGTAGACAAAATATTTGAAGTGTGTAAATTTTTGACTATTTTAAAGTGTATAGTTTAAAAATTTTAAGAAATTTTTTGAAATTACTGTAATTAAAATTGTTAACAAACTTGTAATAAATAAATTTGACCAAAAACTTGCTTACCAAACAATATTTTATCCATTCATCATTGTTTCTAGTAAGTGCAGCATCACGGGTTTAAATGCGACTGTAGAAACTAGAAAACAACGCCTCTGATCCAAGAAGACGTGAAGGAAGAAATTGATATCAAGGTTTATAAAATCGGGATCCTACGTAGAATTGATTTTAGTTTTACAAAATCGGATCGTAGAATCGTAAGATCCCACCAAACGTTCCTAAATTTACTAAATTAATGAATTTGAAATTCATATATCATTTTGTACATCCTAAAATATATCAAATAAATAAGTTACTTATAAATATACAGCATTTTTTACTTACTGTCTGACAAGCATTTGAAATTCATTTATACCATTTTGTTTTCTTTTCACAATTATAGCCATTGCAAAGTAATATTATGAGAAAAGCCAAGCTAAATGTTGATTTGAGTTGAAAATTTAGAAGAAATTGGATTTTTCAAACTTGTTAACAAAAAGTTCAGAAGCATACGTCCACGGCAGCCCATCTTTCTGGTCTAAATAGGAAAATCTGAGCAATTAATGCACCTTTCTAGCTTAAGAAAAAAAATAAAGGCCAGGAAATCATAAGTTCAAGTGAGACCCAATACTTTTTGGCTGAAGGAATGTGCTTCCAAGGAATGAGTTTCTTGGGCACAAAGCCACCTTACAACCTTGTCTAAGAAGAAGAAAAAGTTATCTGCTAAAATAAAGTAAACACCCGAAGTTCTCAAAATATCAGAAACTTAATCTTGCATGAAATGCTTAGCTATGGCAATCAATAGTAAGCAAACAATAATGTATGTGAGCTGAGGCACTCTGTGTTTGGTAACTGCAAATTTCACTTGATGACATTTAGACAAATCAACGTTTTAAAGAGGTAGACAAATCAAAATCATGTTGTTGAAAGTGAAAAGATCCAATCGGACAATTGAAAAGATCCAAAAATAAAAACAAAAAAAAAGAAGAAGAAAGAAAATGGTGTCAAATTAGGGCATTCAAAGTCAGAATAGTTAGTGCAAACCTGTGTAGAATCTGAATCAAATTCTTCCTGTTGTTCAAATGTTGGTACGTGATATTTGGTAGAAGCCGCAGCGATTTCGTCTTGTTGGTTGGAGCTACAGTGGTGGATAAGAAGTGAAAACTGAAAAGTGAATGTTGAAGTGAAGAATACAGAAACGAGTCAACAACAGAGAACTGAGTAGATGAGAAGAATAGGAGTTTTTTTGACTTTTTGAGGCAAAAATTGTTAAAAAATTGCAATTAAAGGCTGCAATTCTTTGATAAATTACAAAACTACTACAAATGTTTTCATTTACTTGCAAAATGGAGTCTCGTATTTCACAAATTTGCAAAAAATTGTAGGATCAAGGTAGGATCATACGATTCTAGACGATCCTACTACGATTATACCGATCCTATGTAAATTAATACAATTTGCGATTCTGAATACGATCTGGATCGATTTTGGTTATCCAAATCGTACGATCATACGATCCGGATCGCGATTTTGACAATACTGGTTGATATTGGATCACCGCGTAGCAATACTGGTTGATACTGGTTGACAATACTGGTTGATCACCGCGTAGCATGTCCCACACACACCTCATCTCATTTATGTCATTGCTCTTGCCGCCTGGCAGCTCCATAAACTACATCATCATCACCACACAAGGAAACTTCTATCATCTTTTCTAGTGTTGTACTGATGAGATTAAATTTACCGTTAAATATAGAATACTAAAGATTATCAACTCTTAGATTATTTCAAAAGTATAAATTACTAAATGATGTAGCAAAATACAGGTAAATTATAATCATGAATATCGTACCCAAAAAAGGGATCGTAACATTTTCTAATCATTCATGCTACATACAGCAATCCGTGCATACGTGTATCTATGTCATAAAGCTCGTTTATACGAGTCTCTGAACACCACTTCGCAGTTTAAGCTATCGACCATGGAAAGCGACAAACTGAGTCAAAAAGCGTTCGTTAGCCAAGGCGAAAACAAGCTACTCAAGGAATCAAAACAAATTAGCTCCAGAACAACCACCACGATGGGAAGGACGCTGTAGAGGATCAGAAAGCCTTCCTCGCCGGACTCGGGGCACGGACGGTTGCAGATGCAACCGTCCCAGGCGATTTTCGTCATTATCAACTACGCGTAACTTTCTTTGTATATCGTGTAACTTTTTTTGCATATCGCGTAACTTTAGAGCAAATTTTTGTGGGACCCACACATAGCGTGGAAATCGAGTTACAACTTATAATCTCAGCCGCACAAAATTTTGAGGTCAAATCCTGGCCATTAACCGCTCAGGCCCCATTTCCTTCCTCGCCAACAGGTTCCACAATCCACTGACTTCAACACAGAAGCACTTGAGCAGCTGTGAAGCCCTTCGTTCGAAAAATTAGGCAGTCCCGAGCCTCACCCTCGGCCCTAGTGTCCGCGCAAAACGTTAAAAGTCAACCTCCGGTCTCCAACACGTTATTTACAGTTGTTATCGGGCACTACCGAAAAAAAGGAAAAAAGAAAAAAGGACACTGTCAAACGTTTTGTTTTGATGCTCGCAGATAGCCACATCATGTTTTTCTCAGTTTTTCTGATAATCGATGAAGGATAAATTAGAGGCATTTGCTTAGCCTTGACAGTGTTTCCTTCCCTTCATGTCAATGTTCTATTAATTTTACCATCTGGCACTTCCATTTGACGTAACACTTGGGGTGTAATTGCCCTCCTTGCATTGGTTTAAGCCCAGGCATTAGCTTGAATTCTCCACAAACGTGCATACAGTCCATCCTTCCTGAGGAGATCACTGTGCTTGCCATGCTGCGCCAAGTTCATGCATCCAAAAATCAGTGACTTTAGACCAGACAATGGAAGTTTCAGGATTTCTTTAAGTCATTCTAGGAAGCTAACTGCCACTTGGAATACTGATCTAAAAAGTGTAAATTGAGGCGGTATGCACATTGAGATTTGAGGCTCATAAACAGAGTTGGATGAAATGATGATGTTTAACTTTCAAATTTGCCTGCAGGAGAAATGAGTTGATGTTCCCCAGTTTTGCACAACAGAAAAGTTAAAACCCTTAAAACCATGGAAGATCTAAAACCAACGCCCACAAGTTGTTGCAGGCATCCAGCCTAAACGCAAATCTCTTGAAGTATGAAAATCAAATTAATTGGCTTTGCAGATGAAACTTTACCTCAACAATTTGCCCGCCATCGATTACCAGGATATTGTCTGCAGCTTCTAAGGTAGACATTCTGCAGATGTCCAGGTCAAGAATTGCAGATATAAAATCATAAAACACCAAATCAATTAAAAGCTCACCTTTGTGCAATGACAATGACAGTTCTTTTTGTTTTGATTTTGAAAGACTGGAGAAAGCACTGAGAAAGAGAATAATAGGTAAGAAGCAAGTCCAATAAAAATAGAATTGAAAGTATGTCACGATGACATGCTTTTAGAAATTTTAATGATGAGTCCCTATGAAACAGAAACAGCTAATAACCCTCATGTACATTTAAAAACTCCTGTAATGACCCCACTGGCATTCAATCACACATGTTAATTTTGTTAAGATGCTTTGCAATGGATATGATACAGCTAATAGACATTGTTAAACGTCAGATAAAGCTGAAAGCCTCGGGTATTTTTGACATTAAAAACACATCGGATTCTCCAAGTCTTTCAATCTAGAATGAGTCTCCACAAATGGCATTGATTTCATGAAAATTTATGGGGAAAGTTTATCAGGTGGAGCTTTAAAATTATAGTGAAGTAGCAGGATTTTCTTTCAGTGTAGCAGTCAGCATATTGCAAAGTACTGAGGCAGAAAATTATTATTTTTCACATCAATATAGTGTTATACAAATCTTCATCGCATGCTTCAAAGTATTTATCCTTGCTATGTGTTCATGGTGGAATCTGTAAGTGGTCTAGGGAGAAAACTGTACCTTGATGTAGTATTCACTTTCTGCATCCAAAGCGCTGGTAGCTTCATCAAGAACTAGAATTTCAGGGTCCCTAAGAATGGCCCTTGCAAGAGCAATACGCTGCTTTTGT